CTTAATTACCAAAATTATTCCGAACGTAAACGGTACGTCGAAAATAAATTTCAGTAATCTCGACTGAAAATAATGAATTCTGAAAGTAATAAACGTTAACATTATTATATCGGAATTTAAAACATAATTTATACCGATGAAATATCGGGATATTACAATCCTCCCTCCTTACAAAATTTCCGTCCTCGGAAATTCAAAACATAGCTGATATACATGAACTATGCACATAGGATAAGAAATATGTACATCAAAACTGAAAATCTGGGAAACGAGCGCGAATATCGGACTCCTCCTCCCAAGTAGCTCCGTGGCGATCCTACTGAATCCGCTCGAGGGGAATATCTCGCTTCCGGAGCCGACGAACCTGACGGTCTAGTACAGCTACCGGTCGCTTCTCGTACGATAGATCTGGCTGAACCTGAATATCCGTATGAGGAATGACATGATCGGGGTCGCACACGTACTTTCGTAACATCGATGCGTGGAAAACATTATGAATGCCTGATAACTCGGGAGGTAGGGCTAAGCGATACGCGACCTCGCCTACTCGCTCGAGAACCTCGAACGGACCGATGAATCGAGGGTGCAGCTTTCCTCTCTTTCCGAATCGAACTACTCCGCGAATCGGAAGAACTCTGAGAAAGGCTGGCTCGCCAACCTCGAACTGAATGTCTCGTCGATGATGATCGGCGGAAGATTTCTGTCGACTCTGAGCTGTCCTGAGTCTCTTCCGGATCAACTCGACCTGATCTGCCATTTCCTCGATCAGCTTAGGACCGAGTACTCGTCGCTCTCCGACGTCGTCCCAATAAAGCGGGGAACGACACTTGCGACCGTAAAGTGCCTCGTAAGGAGCCATCTAAATGGAAGAATGATAACTGTTGTTGTACGCGAACTCCGCATACGGCAATAATGACTCCCACTTAGCACCCCTGTCAACAACCAAAGCGCGAAGCATATCCTCAAGCGTCTGAATAGTCCGCTCTTACTGACAGTCTGTCTCCGGATGATAGGCTGAACTAAACTCTAGCTTCGTGCCCATCGCCTCATGTAGACTGTGCCAGAATCGACTGACGAATCTGGGATCTCTGTCTGATACGATCGTAACGGGCACTCCGTGGAGTCGGATGATCCCACGGGTATATATCTCAGCCAACTTGTCTAGAGACATCTTCATCGAAACGGGTAAGAAATGCGCGACCTTAGTCAATCTGTCGACCACGACCCAGATAGCGTCGTGATGTTCAGACGACCTCGGTAATCCCGTAACGAAATCCATCGTGACTTCCTCCCACTTCCACCTCGGAATCGGCAGTGGCTGCAGGAGGCCAATCCGACTCTGATGTTCGACTTTGACTTGCTGACAGGTAAGACATCTCCTGGCGAACTCGGCGACGTCCTTCTTCATGCCTCGCCACCAGAATGACCCTTTCAGGTCGTGATACATCTTCGTGCTCCCGCGATGGGCCAAATAGGGTGCGGTGTGAGCCTCTGATAAAATTTTCTTCCGCAACGCCTCGACCTTTGGGACCACGATCCTGCCCCTGAACTCTAGGGCATCATCGGCACGAACTTCGGCCTCCATAACACGAACGAACTTGTCAGAAGCCTGCTCTCGCCGGATTCTCTCTCTCAGCGTCGGCTGAAGCTGCATGGCACTGACACTGGCACTGTTACTCCCTAAAACTGCTATGGGAAGTGCATCAATCGCCAGAAGATGCATCCGGGCAAACTCCTGAATCAACGGACTCTGCTGAGTAATGACGTACGTCAAGTCACCCCTCACCTTTCGGCTTAGGGCATCTGCGACGACGTTCGCCTTTCCCGGATGATACTGAATAGAACAATCATAATCCTTGACAAGTTCGAGCCAACGGCGCTGCCACATATTAGGCTCCTTCTGCGTGAAGATATACTGCAAGCTCTTATGATCTGTGAAAATCTCGCAACGTCCGCCATAAAGATAATGTCGCCATATCTTGAGAGCATGAACGACTGCTACTAATTCCAAGTCGTGCGTCGGATAGTTCTGCTCATGCGGCTTAAGCTGACGTGAAGCATACGCGACGACCTGGCCGTCCTGCATAAGGACACATCCCAAGCCCTGTCTCGAAGCATCGCTGAAGATAGTGAAACTCCGAGAAGGATCGGGAATAGTCAACACCGGTGTTGAAGTTAACCTCCTCTTGAGCTCCTGAAAGCTCGCCTTACATCGATCAGTCCACTCGAACTTCACAGACTTCCTCGTCAGCTGGGAAAGAGGGAGGGAAATCTTGGAAAAGCCCTCGATAAACCTGTGATAGTAACCAGCTGAACCGAGAAAACTGCGAACCTCGGACGGACTCCTCGGTGTCGAACAGTTCTGAACGGCTGAGACCTTGGAAGGATCTACCTCGATACCTGCCAGAGTAATCACATTACCCAAAAAGGGTACTAGCTGGAGCCAGAACTCGCATTTGGAGAATTTGGCGTACAACTTTTCTCGTCTGAGGGTTTCAAGAACCACCCTCAGATGCTCCTCGTGTTCCTTCTGGCTCTTTGAGTAAATAAGGATATCGTCAATAAAGACAATAACAAACTGATCGAGGTAGGGATGGAAGATACGGTTCATGAGGTCCATGAAGACTGCTGGCGCATTGCTGAGACCAAAAGGCATGACGACAAACTCGTAATGGCCGTAACGAGTCCTGAAAGCGGTCTTAGCGATATCTGACTCCTTAATCTTCAGCTGATGGTAGTCTGATCGTAAATCAATCTTTGAAAACACACAGGCTCTCCTCAACCGTCGATCCTGGGAAGCGGGTACTTGTTCTTGACCGTCAACCGGTTAAGATCCCGGTAGTCGATACACATGCGCATGGATCTGTCCTTCTTCTTGACAAAGAGAACGGGTGCTCCCCAAGGTGACACACTCGGTCGGATGAAACCGAGTCGTAACAGCTCCTGAATTTGCGTCTTAAGTTCCTGCAACTCCTTAGGCGCCATGCGATATGGGGCTTTGGATACTGGATCGGCCCCTGGAATGAGATCGATAGAGAACTCCACCTGCCGGTTAGGCGGTCCTCCTGGAAGCTCGTCTGGGAACACGTCCACAAACTCGCGAACGATTGGAACATCATGAGGTGAGAGTGCTTTCTGAGAATCGTCGACAAGGCTCACCAGATAACCCTGGCAGTTGCCTCGTCGCAATAACTTAGTGGCTTTCGCCATCGAAACAACATGAAGTAGTGAACGGTTCCTAGAGCCGAAGAAAGTAATCGACTCGTCTCCCGAAAGATAGAGAGTGATCTCCCGGTCATGACATCTGACGTCTGCATGATAGAAGGATAGCCAATCCATTCCGAGAATAAGGTCGAAGTCCCTCATCTCGAGAACAAACGCGTCGGTAGACAATCCTCGGCCTCCGATGGAAAGGTTAAGATCTGAGGCTTTAGCTGAGGTCACTATCTTTCGTCCCGAGGCTAAACTCACCTCGAGAGGATCGACAACAGTAACGACATGAACTCCGATGGCATCGAGACATCGTCGGGAAATGAATGAATGTGTTGCTCCAGCATCGAACAAAGCGAAAACAGGAATATCATTGAGAACAACCATCCCTGACATAGTACCTGGCTGCTGTGCTGCCTCTG